AAAAAAAAAAGTGCAGCCAACAAAATGTGCCATACAATTTAAATATATATAGTTGTAATATATTAATTAATGATGGAATAACTCATTGAATAGTATAATATTTTTTATTTTTATTTTTGTTTACTCTAGTAACAATAATAATCACATTTAAAAATGAATTTAAAAGAAAGAAATTTACTAAAAAAAAAAGAAAAATCATGCTATATGTCAAAAAATTAAATTAAGAAAGATGTATAATTTTGACACGGGATAAACTTTTTTTCAATGGTTTCTCCTTTATAATATAATATATATAGATAAGAAATCTATATATGCATTGTAGAATTAATGGAGAGAGGAAGAAGTAGCACTTGTAATTTTTGTTAAATTGGAGTTCGTTTGAAATTAGGGATTTAGAAGGTGGAAGCAAAATGTAAGGGGAAATGAAAGGGAGACTGGAGAGGGAAAAAAAGAAAAAGAAAAAGAAAGGGATTTATGAAAGTGGGTGGAAAATGTAGGCGTGGAATTAATGGAGAGAGGAAGAAGAAAAGGTAATAAGACAATGGAGAAAAACGGTCCAAAGCAGATTGAGTTTGTTTTTGTTTGATACTGCATAGTCAAACAAAAGAATTTGGGTTAAAATTAAGAAAGGGGTAATTAAGTGATTTAATTTAATTAATTTAATAACTGTTAACACTAAAAAATAAAATAGATGGAACCGAGATATTTATTGATAGAGAGAATTTATAGTGGAGAGAAAGTGGAGAAAATAATTTGCCTCCTTAAGTTGATCCTTGAGGTATTTATAAGATACTTACATAAAATTATCCTATGAGTATAACTTTATTTGATTGGTGTTTGAGTATTCTAATTTTAGTGGGATTTAACATATCTAATCTTGATAGGATTATTTTTAGGATGTCTCCATGTGTCCTAGTTCTCATAGGACTCAATTTATGGTATAACATTTGCCCCCCAATAAAGAAGTTTGAGGGTAACGAAAACTTGTTGAGTCTCATCTTCACGTTGGTTTTGCTATTTGTAACTTGACTCCAAATTGTACATAGCTTTTTCATATCTTTGCCTTTAAGAGGTTCCATCTTTTTATGGCAAAGATTTTGCGACCATGGTTGCCTCATTAAAAACCTTAGCTAATAAAAACCCTGTGGGATAAAAAATTAGCTTAAGGAAAAAAGAGTACAGCACATGTTTTTCCTTGTATTCACAACTTTTGGAGTGCTCTCTGTTGGATTTCCATATGCTACGCAGGTATCCTAACTTCTTTATTTGTATTTAGTTGAATTTTCTTCAAGATTTCTTTGCTGGTGCAGTCATTTCCCTTGCAGGCTTTTTGACACATGTTCGCCTTTTATTTGTGAGTTTGTATCGATTATTTGCAGCACCTCTGTTTCTCAGTTTCCTCTTCTTTCTTCTCTAATTTTTCTTCCTTCTTTTCTTCCACTATTCTTGCTTTCTTTCTTCTACTTTGCCATTTTTCTGTTTTGTTGGAGGTTTAAGCTAATCCAAAGTTGAAGAAAGTTTATGATTAAGGTCCATCGTATGTTCCTCTAGGTAGATCTCTGGTTGAAGTAAAGGAAAGACTGAGTAGCTTTTGGGATGTAGAGGATTCTACTACAATTATTCATAGTAGGAGTAATTCTATTGATGTGGAGGTTCTCAAGGTATGCTTCTTTAGCTTTTCGGACCTTTGTTGAACCTTTGTAGCCTTGCTTGCGTAGCTTTTGCCCAGGTGTTTATATACACCTTAACTTGCCCGCAGCTTTTAATATAGCCTTGCTTGCGTAACTTTTGCTTGGGTATTTATATACACTCAAACTTGCTCGTAGCTTTCGTTTGCGTAACTTTTGCCTAGGTATTTATGTACACCCAAACTTGCTCGCAACTTTCTTTGGTGTAGCTTTTGCCTGGGTAGTTATATACACCCAAACTTGCTCATAGCTTTCATTTGCATAACTTTTGCTCGGGTATTTATGTACACCCAAACTTGCTCGCAACTTTCATTTGCGTAACTTTTGCCTAACCCTAACTTGCTCATAGCTTTCGTTGGCGTAGCTTTTGCCCAAGTATTTATGTACACCCTAACTTGCTCACAACTTTTAGTTTGCTTAAGCATATTCTGATTAGTTTTTCTCAGAATTTTGAGTTAACTAACCTTATCCGGATTTCAGAGCTTTAAGAACAGCTCCATAGTTTCGCGCGTTCATATTCTTTCACCATGTCTAGTGTTTAAGGTTTTGGATCACTTAAAAGTGATGTTGAAGTGATATGTTGCATAGAAGTGAGCAAAGATGTGTACAGCCAAGATCTTATTCTTAAAGCTATGTTCCACTTAAAAGTGGTTTTTAGCAATGTGAAATGAATCTTTGCTTTTAAGATGCGCAACATTTTAGGTCCTTGGAACTAAGGCTTCATTGGGATAATTGGGCTTTGAAAGCTTTGTTTCCCAAGTTTTCTTTGCAGAGGTATGGACCTTCTTAGTTGGTGGCATTACATAAGATTGATATTCCTCTATGTTGTGTGCAATTTGGTGCTCTCATATTGCTTTGTGACTTTCTGTCTCATAACTCTTGTTACACCTGTGCATCCTATAAATGAATTCCTATGCTTGGAGCTCATTGGCCTATGTGGCCTTCTCCAAAAAGTTTCTCCAAAAAAAGGTTAGTTTTCTTAAAAACATAGTAACTTACATGATTATTAAGATTGAAAATTAGAAAATTAGAAAATTAGAAAATAGAAAAGTAAATATACTTAGCTTAGATTGCAGCTTTTTGTTTTGAGTGTGTATAGCTTTGATCATCATAATTACTACTTCCTAGCATTGAATCCTGTGTTTCCCAAAACAGCTGTGAACCTGCCTAGTTGAAGGCAGTGTAATTCTCCGTGACTCCTCTTGTTTCTGGTGCACTTGTTTTAAACCATATCTTGCTCAAGCCTTTCACCAAAATTCATCCGAGAGGAAGAAAAGCCACTTGTTTCTCCATTGTTTCCAAATCTTGGAGCATCCATGTGCAGCAATAACGAATTTTTGTTGGCAAGATTCACCATGTGCCATTCATAGATCAAAAAGAACTCAGCCCCATGGTGGGCGCCATATGTTAACACTAAAATATAGAATAGATGGAACTGAGATCTTTATTGATAGAGAGACTTTACAGTGGAGGGAAAGTGGAGAAAATAATTTACCTCCTTAGGTTGATCCTTGAGGTATTAATAGGATATTTACATAAAGTTATCCTAAGAGTACAACCTTATTCGATTGGTGTTTGAGTATTCTAATTCTAGTGGGATTTAACCTATCTAATCTTGATAGGAGTATTTTTAGAATGCCTCCAAGTGTCCTAATTCTCATAGGACTCAATTTAGGGTATAACAATAACAATGCTTTCTATAGGAAAAAAATTTCTAACTATGCTAGTCAGTCACATGTTAAAAGAAGCAAAATTTAAAAATTGTATAGTTATTTGACACTTGATAGTGGTTTCCATTCATGGTTTTTGCTTATATAGATTGTGTTCTTTTACTACTGTTATGCTTTGATAGGTACCATGTGTTGTCGGTATCGCAAAGACGTACAAGATTTAAAGAATAAGCAAAAAGGGTTTCCAATGGAGGTGAAAGTTTGTTTAGAGATAGAAGAGCAAAAATGCTTACCAAATGTTTGATGAAGAGACTAAGAGAAAGCAATAAAATTTTGGTTAAGCTAATGAAGGAGGCGATGGTTAAATTGCGAGCTAATGAACTCAGAACTAAGGAGCTAGAGAACAGGGAGGATGGGGGGGAGGAAGCAAGGAAAAAAAGAGAGAAATTGCTACAATTCTATGCCCCAACAATGATTTGAAATTGTTCAAGAAATGCACCTTCACAAATTACAGGACCTCAACTTTTCTTTTTGCTTATTCAATTTTGAATCCGATTATCTAAGTTAATTGCCTCTTCTTTTCATGAAGACAATAGAACAACTCAAGATTTGGGTACTTCCCATCTAGCGATTGGAGAATTTGTTCTATCTTTTTAACGAAGGTTTAATTGGGAAAATAGCCAATTAAATATAAAAGCTATGGGATTGATAATTAAGGGTGTAGTCATAATGTCATTCTTAGTTTTTTAATTTATATAGTATATTATCATATCTTAATTTGAATTTTAATTAGATTTTTTTATAGGAAATAGAGAAATATATTAAATGATAAGAAATTACAGTAGAATCTCCATCTCATGGTATTATAGTTGAAAACAATATAGCCTAAAGATAAAATCAGAAGCATAACCTACCGCACTAGTAACAGATTTGAATTATACTCATGATGGATATAGACAATTAAGTAAATAGGGCTATCTACAACTAGAGATTGCAATTACAATCGTTGTATGTGTTAAATAGGGCTACTAATGTATAAAGGAGACTCACTATGAGCATTAGAAACTACTGGACATTCTAACCTATTTAACTAGCTTTATGGGGAGAGAGCAAGGGATTTCGGCAACAAACAGTCCCTAACTCGCAAGTTGCTGCTCTATCTATTGTTGAAAAATAACAAACAAAAGTGGCATGGGCCTCTTCCATACAAGCACAAGGCACCTCAGTCGCCTTCGTGTACTCCTAATCATGTTCCCATCTTTGCCAATCCTCTTCAAACCCTTGCTGTTGAAGCTCGTTAAGGGAACTAGAGCCCCTTTGTCGGCTTGAATATCATGCTTCTTGTGCAGACCATAATTGGCTTCACCAACAGCATCCCTTTCCTTTTGTATTTGGTTGCCTGATCGAAAACTAGAGTGAACCAGTTTCTCTGAATTCAATCCCCACCAAGATCCCATCCAAGGAGATGCGCCAAAGCCAGGTTCTTACTCGTTGAATAGGAGAAACCCAATCCACCAACAAGATCAATTCCCTCGTTATTCCAGTTGCAACCTATAGACCTAAATATGTTGCTGCCTTATGGTCCCTTGGATTGAAGTTTCCAAAACAAGATAGTTGACTAAGATGGAGGAAGCGATCAAGAGTAGGAAGGTAGGGGTAAAAAGAAAGTAGGAATAAAAGAACTCCTCTACCGAAGAGAAACTTTAGGGAGAAAAACCCACTGCCTCTACCCTCAACCTTAAGAGCAGTGCATAGGAGCTTAAGAGCTTTAATATAAAGGAAAAAAAAAAACCTAAAATAATTTTAAGTAGATTTAGACTTTCATGATTTACTAATTATGACTTCAATTTAATTTCTCATTAAATTTAGACTTAAACTTAACTAATTATCTTATTGTATTATATTATAAAAACTATTAAAATTTTTAATAAATCTCAAATAAATATCTAGTGGGTCTTTTAAAATATTTAAAAAATAAAAAATAAATATTTAAGGAACATTTTAAAATCTTAAGTAAATATTAAATAAATACCTAACTCAATGACATTTTAAAATCTAAACTCAATTATATTTTACTATATTATATAAATCATTAAAAATCTTCAACAAAACCACAATAAAAATCCAATAAATAAATACTCTATGAGCATTTCAAAATCCTTTTAAAATATCAAATAAAAAAATATCAAATAAATAATCCTCAATAAGTAATTATAAATATAATTATAATTATAATTATCAAGACCTCAGTTTGATTTTACAAATTAATTTAGCAAAAAAAAAAAAAATCCAATAACTTACTTTTCTATATTTCAATTCCAAATTAATTTAATTTTTTAATTATACAAATAAAATAGTTCAAAGTCAAATTTAATTATATCTTACTTTATTATAATAATACTTAATAATAATTTAATTATATCAAAATTCTCACCAATTATTTTAAAATTTTACTTCAATTACTATATAGTAATGTGGCTTCTACATCTATATATTATTAAAGTTGAAAACATCTAACCCAAATATATAATTCAACTTCTACTTTAATTATATAATGTATTTAACATAGACATATTATATTATATTCAAAGTAAATTTTGCAAGTTGATTTTTATTTGCTCTGTTATTCTTGGACTAAAGGAGTAATAATTAAGATATAAAGAATTTTAGATAAACATATTTCTTAATAATGATTACTAAAATATCAATAATTATTAATGACTACAAATTGTAACATACAATTGATGTGAATGTAGAATAATACCTACAAGAATAATACCTATAAGTAACAACATATCTATAAGGAACCTAAAAAAAAAGAAAGATTTTACAAGAAACTTAAAAATGTTTTGACATTTTCTTTATCAAAAGTGTAAATTGTTTATTAAAAAATGATAAAAATGGTAAAGTAAGGGCCTTTAGAGGCTTTCAATATATTCATTAAGACAAAATTAAACAATTTTAATAAACAAACAGCAAGGGAGGAAAGGGAGAAAGATTGGGGTAAAAATGATATATAAAAATAAATAGAGATATAAGAAGTAATTAAGAAGCAATAATTTTGAGGGAATAAGGATAATGGAAGAAAATTAATAACAAAAAATTATTAATGATAAAATGAGGGTAAATGTAGAATAGATAGATAAATATAATGATAAAATATGAGAAAACAAATTAAGAGGTGAAGTCTCAAGAAAAAATATTGAAAGGTTAGGTGAGTGAAAAACATCAAGAGGAAAAAAAATGGTATAAAAGAAATATATATTTTAATAGATAAATGTTTAAAAAAACAACTAAGAAAAAATGATTGAGATAAGATGATAATGAGAGAATAAATAATAACAAATAAATTACTAACATAAAAGGAAAAAAAGGGAGATAATGTAGGTTGT